AATCATGCAACAGGAATAATCATAGATGATAATTCAAGCCATATATTTACATTATGATATGTGAAAGCGGCCATAATTTCCGCAATTGGCTGTATTATCTTTTAAGACGATGTATTGTGCGCCTTTTTCAATTGAAAGCATGCCGCGAAATTGACGCTATCATCATCATCATGTGATGTTCTTCTCACTTACGTATTCCTTTAGTTGGCGATGTACAAAGAAGTATCATGTTCAGCATAACACATAGCAGAAAACGCAAGAGTTCTTGTTTCAGTAGGGTGGGCATTTGATCAAAGCCTTTCRAAGGATTCYCTMTGAAAGTCCTGATCTCGAAGTTATCACTTACTACTATTTAGACGACTTTGAAAGTTTGTATGGAAGTGGCAGTCCTAAGGATTTTATGGCAAAGGCAACTGATTCGATCCGTTGAAAGTATTCGAARGTTAAAGCCTAGCTGAGTAAAATATGTTTCGCTTTGAACATATCGAAACACCTGACAAATGTATTGGAAGTCGTAGTGTCGTAGTGTCAAATCATTTCGATTCAACTTTCGCCTTGCAGAGACATTTCAGTCTTACGGACCCCAAGCTATTTCGGGACACCCCGTTATAAGTACACTTTTAAAGTGGACAGCTACATATATCCAATACAATTACATTTTGAACGACGAAGATGAAGTCTTTTTCTGAATGGAAGTAAATTGATCACAAATTGTTTATTTTTGCAATTCATACTATATCTTAATAATGAGGAAGCGCCTGCATATAATTGCTAGTTTCGCTAAATAGTATACTAACCTCTAACGTTTCGACCAAAAACGGCAAACGATTGAAAACAATGTTGGGTTTATAAAACCCTTAATAAATATTAAGAATCTGTTTACAAGTGGCAGAGTAACAAAGTTTAGAGTAACAAAAATTGCAWTATAGTCTAGATTAATTAAGTCAATAATGAATGCTGATGAAGTCAAAAGATTTTTCGTGAGGCTGACGGAATAATTATTGTCACGAAATAAAATATATCACCCAAACAGCGTGACAAAATATTGTCACAAGAATTTCGATAAATTGTTAGAAACATTGTTATAGTTCATATTATAGTGTTTTTAACGATAAAATATCCTTTATCTTTTTACTTTGGAAAACGTTTTGTTTCCACGCAACTAAGAAAGGAAAAAAGAAGAAAAAAAGTACGCCATTTTGAAAGGTAAAAGAGACTTTGCATCAAAGCAAGAAAGTAGATGGCGGATATTCTTCTCAAAATTGCTTGTTTTAAATTGTTTAACTTCAAAAACTCCTCAAATTTTAAAGTTTACCACAAAAATATCTTATGTATTTTATCTTGATTCTTGAACTTCCAATAAATGCTGTTCTCTAAAATATCGGGAAATGCTATAGATATAATAGTCGTTGTTTATCGTCGGTAAAACTGAAACCAACTGCTATGAGGCATACAATGACAAACTCGTCTTAACTATCCTTATTATTAATGCTGACGGAAACTTTTTTTTTTAGTTTTAATTMGGGAAGATCGATTGCGACCTATCTGAAAACGGCATTCCTGTACATATGATTAAGAAAATGAATTTTTGGCCGCGACTCATTGGTAATGGTCGTAAAAGGAACATAGCGGATCTGTCCAACTGTGCAACCATTGAACAGCAGGGACATTTGTCTGCGCATGCGTG